TAATATCGGATGAGTTGATGGCGAAATGAACTTGTATCGAAAGGACTGGTGTGCCACCACGATCAAAAACTCATTGCAAAATATTTTATCCGACATATTGCATCCGAGAGACCTAAAAGAGGCTTGCTTGAGGCGCATCAATCGATCGATGTTTTATTTTAGACTCTGCATTTGATGAACTGCGAAATCTCGGAATGATTTTTCCCTCCTTCTCTCTCTCTCTCTCTCTCTCTCTCTCTCTCTTTCCTTCTACTATTCTCTTCTTCTTTTGACTTTATAATTCTTTTTCTAAAAATTTCAAATTTATTACTTTTTCTGATTTCTACTTTCAACGTTGCAACTGTGTAAGTTTATCAGTAAGTATGTGTACGTACTGTTTTGTATACACATCTTTTTTATGTGTACAATATATTATTCTCTGAAATTTTTTCGCATAATTGTTTTTTTCCGAGTTCGCGGTAATACGAAGGTAATCTTCGACAATGAATGTATCCAATTATTTAACATGATTAAAACGCATTGGTGTAAAAAGCAAGATTATTTTCGATACATTGATTAACTCTATTGATTAAATGCATTGATTAAAATCCAGAATACGAAAAAAGTTATTCTGCGAGAAATTCCTCGGCTGAATTGGAATGAAACGCTCTGAGTGTTGAGAGAATTAAACAAAATTAAATTTATGAATTTTTCTCGAATTAAATCGTATGAATATTATTATTTTTATCTGTATAGTCAGTTATCTCTTCGTATCCGATTAAACGTCTAATTCAAACGCGCGCCTTGACAGCAGCGGTCAGACGCCATATTAATTGAAGCGATTAAACGAAAAACGAGAGACGAGGATAGGGATTCACGCGATTCACGCGGTCGATCGCTGTGATAGTCGCGAGAGAAAATCGAGCGCTTGTTCTCGTCGAAGAAATATACGTTTTTACATTCTCCGTCAATATTTTTTTCCGCTTTTCGCTTCACGCAGATATCCGGCTACTCGGCGATCGTTTGCCTCACAGCACAATAACGGCGGTTTATCGGACGGGTGTTATCACGTCACTTGGTATCCATGAGACGAGACTACGTCGCGCCGGCCGCCACCGTTCTTCAGGCTCGAATTTCGCGTGTTCTCTCAATTATTCGCACCGATCGATCGCCTTGCCCCTGCCAATCGGCGGCGTTGCATGCCGCGTCCGACCTACGATGAATGCAGCACGTGGCAAGGTACCATAGAGCTGGCAGGGCATGTGTCTCGAAAGAAACATCGCCGCCCGTTCTAATGGTAGGGGGTTGGTTAATCGCGAGACTAGGAGACAAGCAAAGCCGAAGTAAACCGAGATAAAGATTTATGAACGCCATCCCTTCGAGAGAGGAAGGTGTGTGTGTATTGCTGCCGTCGATTCGGATGGTCTGAATCCATTCTTATGATTCGCGTTCATTAATTGTCATTGTGAAGATACGTTCTCGAGATGAAGTCTGTACGATTGACATTGATCGTTTTTGCGATAACATCATCCGAGACTTGATATTATAAGTGTATATGGAAAGAACAATTTTGTTCAAGTATCTAAAAATTCAACTAGATACACACAGATCTAAAAATAATTTTGTTCGACCATCAAAATAATTATGCAAAAATCTTAAGCATGATAATGCTGCAATAAATTTTGCATTCTAGCAACTAGTTTGAACGTCTCGCATAAACTACTCTTCAATTGTATTCCAGTCAATTTAATTTTTAGAAAAAGAATTGTAACTTGTCACGCCTCATAAAAATCGTCATTTTCATCTCTGACGTCGCTTCTTTGTAATGTGACAGTCATATTTAACCAACGGATTTATATATTTAGCAGACAAAAATACATCGAAAAAACGATTATTTATATTGCAAAAATAGTATTAAATGTCGAACAATATAATTGTCAATAAAATTTTATTCAGATCTACATATATACAGGATGCTCGGTAAGTTTTAATAAAACGTTCGTGTATAAATAGAGCGGATTAAAGGGAATTGAAAAGTCTTTTACCATTTTGCAATTTTCGTAACTTTTTTTAGCCAATGAGCAAAATATGTAAAAAATCGACGCTTTAAAGTAACTTTAAAAGTTTTCTAAAAAACATCTTTAAATTATTTCATAAAGAATTCTGAAGGAATAAGGAGACTTAAAGAGAGCGAAAAGTCAAAAAATTTTTTTTACTTTTTTTAAATCATTTATGTCTTAAAAATATGCTTCTAGAGGGTTTTTTGAAATTTGAAATATTTTTCGAGTTATGTGAGTGTTTTAACAAATGGGCGCATAGTGCAGTGGAGTTATGGATAAATAGATAAATAGATAGATTTCTATTAAATAATCAACACTGAAACTTTAATGCGTTTTTCTCAAAACTACACTTTTCAACTGGCAGCGTCTATAACTCGAATTTTCGACCAATCGATTTCAGCTTTGAACAGCAGCTTCATAATGAATAGTTTCAGTTAAGTGTAGCGATTTTTTTATTAACTGTTAGTTTTTAAAAGGTGAGATGTTTAAGAGGCTCAAAATATAGCGAAATTAAATTTTTTTTTAAACCGCCATTTTGTAAAAAAGAATTATTTTAAAAAATCGTTACGCTTAACTGCGACTATTAAGGGAGTAAAACTCCACTCATACAGATTCGAAATTTTTAAAAAATTTTCATTTCAGATAATTACTTGAGTTTTTTACGCTGGCGATAAACTATGTTTTTCGAACACGGAAGTCTACAATGAAACAATATATTTAGTCATATAAAAATTCTTAAAAATGTGCATCCAATTGATATATCAATTCATATTTTTTCTAAGGTTTATATTATCTACTTTTAGGAAAATCAATTTAAAAAAGCCTTTTTTTAAGGATTTTACTCTGTTTTATCCCCTTAAAGTTGTTTTTATTCGCGTCGATTTTATCCGCTTATTTGACAATCTTTAAAAATTATTATCTCGTTGAACATTGCAAAATAGTAGTGGATTTTTTTATTCAGTTTAGTTCGCTCTATCTACTTACATGCTTTGTTAAAATTTACCAAACATCCTGTATAGCTAAATTTTTTATATTTATATTTTAGCAAAACTATTCTTTCTATGTATCTATAGACAAAAGACAGTATAATTTAACATGCCAATAATAATATGACTCAAAGTATGACGGATCGTAGAAATAAAGTTTATTTATTTATTTATTGCTAATCTTAGAGAAGAATACATATTGAATTTGAGATTTACCTGTAGGAAGAGTATCACATTATACAAAGAAGTAAATATCACATCTAAACAAGCAGAAGCTCTTCTTCTTTTTATCGGATTCCTGTCGGAAAGGAACTCCTTTCTCAGTCCATTTCGTTCTCTCACCAATTGCGTTACCAGTCAGTAATTTATTATCAAAAGTAATCCTCTTGGGAAGATCACAATCTATACGAACTACTGTATTTTACTGGCTATAAAACTTGTATGAACTATTATAAATCATTTCAGAATTTACTCGCGTCGACATAATATCATTATCGATTTTGGATTTACCAATTGTAAGCATCAACTTAAAACATTTTTATCACGGGAGGATAAAATATATCATTTATAATATTATAATATAATTTTCATTTACACATTGCATAAGCTCATACTTGGTGCACTTGTTTCGTTTTAAAAAAATTTCTTTTATTATTTTTCTAAAAACGTGTCGCGTATTAAATTTTTTGTATTGTTAGATATTATTATTCGAATACAATAATACTGACACTGAGTTAAATTACTTTTATTAATATTTCTCAAAAAGCAAATGGTTCATTTTCTGTTTTATAATGATAATAATTTAGCTTTATATCGTCAATTTCTTGTCACGGAGTGTCAATCGTTTTGCTTCTTCCTATCTCTCTGTTCTCTATTAACTCCTGCCAGTTATTTCTCCGTGATAAAGAGCCAGCGAAAGTTTCCTCGTAAATCGTCGTTTGATGTAATGTAGACACGAAGCTAATGTATACATCTTCACTGTATACATCTTAACGACAAAAATCCTAATCACGCGAGTTGGGTGATCTTAATACTTGTGTAATCGTTTGTGAACTATTTGTGACAGTCATATAACAATTTTGCACGAACTCGATCTAACAAGAAAGAATTTAATGGAAGAAAAATCCTAACGCAACTGAAATAATTTTAACGAAAATGTAAGAGATTTTTAGTATTAACTTAATCTCTACATTTCTCCCGTTTCGTGACTTTCTTATATTGTAATTTTACTGCAATCTTACTTGTAAAATACAAATCTCTCATTAAAAACTTTCGTAATAGACTAATGTATATCTGGATATATCCGAGGGCGTAAATCACGTAGCAGTGAAAACGTATTCTGAATTCTTGTAACTTTACTGCTTCATTATAGAATACTTCAATTTCGTACTGGATCAATAGAAGAAAATTACTAAATATGTACTATATATGTGTGTGTGATTGCCTAATCATATTTTTTGCAGCATGTTACAAAAAAGACTGAACAAATCAATTTGTTACTGTAAATATATATTATAAAGAGTTGAACATGTTATAATAATAGTATGTAATACCTGAAACATTAATTTCCAATATTCATTTGCGTACAAACCAGTACGAAATGGAAAATATAATATATAAAAGATTACTTAAGTAATATATATTTGGCAACTCTCTTCTATTCTATTTGCACTTAATTTAATTCTGATTCTTTTAGCAATTACATCGTAAGTTTTAAACGTTGAGACTCTGTCGCGAGATATTTCATCTTTGCGTGTCAAGCTTTAGCTCTAAATGTTAAGAGCTGTCCGTGCGTCACGTAAAGCTGTAGGTTGTTAAATTTCAAACCGAACTATTTGCATAACCGTTTTCCTCGTTTCGCTTACGAGATAACGAGGATGAAACGTTGCTTACGCGAAGGTATATACCTGCCTGTTTCCGTGAACTGTATTTGCGCCCTCGGCCAAGCTGAATCAATTCTCGCTTCTGGTTGCAGTGAACCTGTATGATGGCGAGCAATTAAACTTGACGAGGATCACACGCAGCGAAATGGGTGCTTATCTCTGCATCGCGACCAATGGTGTGCCGCCCACGGTCAGCAAAAGGATCACCGTTGATGTCGAATGTGAGTTTGTAGCAAGCATTCCGCACATTATTATCGTTTGTATGTAACAAATATGAGATGTACATATTCATGATGAATGGCATGCACAGTCAGCGATACAAGGGATACAATGTGACGCAATGACCATAATTTTATGCTGTTATATGCTAGATGTTCGGCAATAAACGCTTAATGACGTTGATGTTTCATTAAAGGGTTCAATTAAAATGCGTCTTGCAACAATATATTATTTGTCAACTGCTATAATTTAATGACGTGACTGTTATATTGGCGCTATAGAGTAGTATAGAGTGTAACTGATAAATAAATAACAATGTAATTTATAGTTAAGATGACACAATAATATTGAGTAATAATTTCCTTTTGTTTGTGATATGAGTAACATCGAGTTTAATGTTAGTAGTAAATTTATTCGTATTTATAGTAAACATTCTGTGAAAGATAAAATTGCAATGCGCATTTTTTTAATTTGCTGAATTTGAATAATAATTTTCTTGGGAAAACAGCTGGTGGTGCAGCACCAGCATTGGGCTAGATTTCGATAAAAATGCAATAAAACCGCACTTATGCAATAAAACCAAATTAATGCAGGTTTAAATAATAAGAATCTTATTAGACTGTACATGCGAGAACACAACTGATAAGAAATAAATTAAAGGCCTATAACAATCGAAATTGGATGCTTAAATAATTCACTGTGAATTATGTGTATATATATATATATATTGTGTAATATGTACATGTACTCATTGATGCTTAAATAATTCAATGTGAATTATATATATAGAGGAAAGCCTCTGATTATGAGATAGGCCTCTAATATGAGAGAACGGCATTTCTGCTAAACTAATAAACGTTATCTATTGATTTCATCATGAATTTATTATTCTTGGATTGAAGACTATTTAGTAGGAAATTCATTATTAAATCATGTCTGTAATCATAAAAAAATATCTCAGATTTTGGATATCTAAGTTTTATTGATATGCACCTTTAATCCTTGTTTATTATTATATTTTTTCACATTAATCAGGCTGTATTTCTTAAGACGTGTATTGTAGAGTTAAATGAATTATTGCATCGTGTTCAGCGACCAAAAAAACATATAGTACCACTTTTAAAATCCGACTTAAGTCATTTTTGCATCAAATCAAACATTTATTAAGGAAAAATCGAAACTTTTATTTAAAAATCGTTCACTAGCGACCTCTAAATCTTAACATTTTTTGATAAAAATTTAGGAGTGTTCTTTTGGTATGAAAGCTTTTAAACTAAGGATTAAAAAAATTTTTTTTTTCTTCAGTTTAGTAGAGAATTTTTCGATTCAGTTTAGTCTGCTCTATCTACACACATTGGCTAAAATTTACGGGATACCCTGTATATATTATATATATATGTGTATATATATTATATATATAATATATACAATTCATATTGAATTATTTAAGAATCAAAGATCCAGCTTTGACCGTTATAGATCTTTAATTCCTATTTCTTATCAGTGCAGATTTAGTTTAAAACACATTATTATTCTTGATTGTCCATTTTATGACTTTACCTATAATAGTAAAAGCATATAACTACACAAACTTAAATTATTCTTATTTTACAATAATTTTCTAAATTATTTATTTAATCCTTAAAAGTTTCAAAACTTTTAAACATTAAAATGTTATTGTCATTGCACAGCTGTTATTAGGCACATCAACTAAATATAATATTAAGATATAAAATTAAGGAGCTTCTAAAGCCATCAATATTATCGACTAAACCATAATTTTCATATAACAATTACATTTTTTTCTCTTTTACAGATTTGGAAATTCTTTTCTAGGATTAAAGTATACGCATTAATACGTGTTTGTAAGGTGGAGTTTATGTCAAAAATGACAAAAAATTTCGAAATTGAGATCTTTATCATTTCTAGTCCAATATGATATTCCAAAAAAAAACTGTCACATTATAACAACATTTGCTTCATATAAAAGTTGTGCAGTCAGCTGTAATTATGAAATAGTAGTCCACAGACTAGTAGTTTGAACGAAGAAATAATAACGTGAAATTCTTAAAATTGAACTTAGATGTCTAATTAAAACGTTATTGTTATATAAAAATTTATGTGTACATATGCGTAAGATATTGTAATTATGATGTATGTAGTAGTACGTAGTGATGTGTCAATATTTAAGTTGTGTGGAAGTCCTACTTATACTACGACTAATCTCGTCTTTAAGATCTCCTTAAATTTGAATAATGTAATCAAATATCAAACCTTAATCATTAATGTAATATCACAAGTTTAATTTCAACTTGCATTGAGCTTTCACGTCTCTAAAGATAGTGGAGAGAAAGTTGAACTCAGTGCAATTTTTTGCATTAATTTTGTCAATGGAACATTAAATTTATGTCATCAGTGAAGTTTAATAATTACACTTAAAATATATGTGAACTGGTTTTCATAGTGGAACAATACAATTGCATTTCAGAGTGCAGGATTATAATTTTCTCAGTAGAGAAAACGTTAATTATTTTCCTACTTTTGGAACATTTTTTTCTGCTGTTTTATTTGCTCAAAACAAAAAATTTATAAACCCATGAAATAGTATTAAAAAAAAATAATAATGAAGAAGAATCATAAATAAAATAGCATAGTTATATCATTCTGACTTTTTTTCGGTAAGCTTTATAGCAGCAGGTAATAAGGCATTACTACCTGCCTTATTATCAATTGTTACTCACACGTTTTTGCGTATCTTACTATAATTATATTGGTATATAATTAAATTAATATTAAATTTAATTATATACCAATATAATTATAATTTTATATAATATGGAAATGGTAAAGATCTCAATTTTGAAATTTTTTTGTCATTTTTGGCATAAACTCCATCTTACAAACACGTATTAATGCGATAAATTAAATTTAAACTAAAAATAAGTATATCGAAAATGCTTGTTCTTTTTATTCATAACAACGCCAAATGCAAAAAGAATCAATCAATTTCAGCAAATCTCTTATAAAATGCATTTGAAACGTCATTTTTCACAACATGTTTACTATGAATAAACGTTTACTAGTAAATTATTCGGTGTTAATTGCGTCATTTAAAAAACAGAAACTTGTCAACTCAATAAAGTTAAAAAGGTTATTATGAGATAGCGATATCGTAGAATGTACAACAGCATACAGGTGTTGCACATAATTACTGTAATAAATTATGTTAATTGGATGCGGCAAATTACTACGATCAACTCCAAATGTTCATAAAATATCCTAATTTTCTAGTTCATTTACGTGTTAAATATCGTAAATAGCGGCACACGTGACGCAAACTTTCTCGAGGCGGCGACGCGAAAATTGGAGTTTTCCATTGGGGGATGGCTGGATCGTATCCAACAATGATTTATCGAATGAATTTTAAACGCGTTGTTATATGCGATCTTCGATCCGACGGCGGGTCAGTTGTGTATTGTTTAAATTTCATTTCACGAATTGCACAACGCAAGCACACGTGCGCGTACACACGTTGCTGCGGCGCACGTGCTCTGCACCGAATACATGTATACGTGTATACGTGTATATCAGACAACAAGAGGCAACGTACTATGCAAGGATACTAGATCCGCAGAGTGTCGGGGAAAGCCCGAGGGAAATACTGGAAGCTGCGCACACAAGCCGTCCCATCGGCACTGGTCATTTTTCCCTTTTATGCGTTTCATTCGTTCGTGTCACTTCGTATGCCTGCATCCGCGTGCCGTTGCACGTCGGTGTGCGTGCGCGCGAGATCTGGTTGGATCTGGCATCGTTGTTGAGAGAAGAAGGAACGGTACGTTACGTATGGCACAGACTGGGCGGTATCTCTTGAATATTTAGGAGGCGGGGGACATATTTTATTTAGACGAGCGGGATAAAACATCGGTTTTCTGCGCGCGAATGCGGCGCGTTCCGAGTCATAGCAGACGTTTCAGAGATCATCTTCGTACACCCCAAACAGCACACGCCTGACACGCCATCTCTTTCTCTCACTCTTATCCGTCTAATACTCAACATACGTATGCATTAGGGATTTGCTGGGCACCGCCTTGTAAAAATTTTAACGTACGTAATGATATAAGCGAGCCCTAGGAAGTTCTGATTGATGGCACAATTCTTTCATTTTCTCCGGACAAACGATGCTGTATCAGCGTTGTAGTTTTTATCGCCACCTTGAGTTTTTAACTGCCATATATGCTAATTTATATCTATATTGCATTAGTTGTATCGGTTTCCTACTTTTACTGACTTTTTTTCTTTTAAAGCATCTTTATTATTTATATGCACACGCGATTCATTTTTGGTTTAGAATTATTATGTAGCTGTAAACAAATTTGCGTACAATTAGAAAAAAAATGTGATGGCAATTATTATAAAGGTTATAACTATACAAGTTTTATAGATAGAATTAATGTAAATATAGGGTTGAATAGATTTATTTTATAGTTATAACGATTACAAATTGAAATTGTTGAATAAATTATATAAAAAAGCTTATTTAACTATAAAATAATTTATTCAAGACCTCCCATCCTCCCCCCCCCACCCCCTCGGATTGTTCTATATCTTCGTATAAATTATATAGTAATTATTTATTTAATGGATAAAAGAAAGAGCGGATAAGAGCGAGAGTCAGAGCGCGAGTAAACTGAAAGTTTAGTTTTTCAAAAGATGTAGAACAACTCAACTTCAATGTACAAAATGTTGCAGATATATTAAGCAGTACAACACGATGGGTTGCGCTAAGATTTTTCCATGTTATAACTGAAACGCTGCAAACTTTATTGGTATAAATTCACTCAATCAGTAAGTTATAAGATATACATCATTATTGCCTACTCAAGTTTGCCCTTGCAAAGTTTGCCGTGCAACTGCCTACATATATCTGCAACACCGTGTGTACATTATTTCCAAATATAAAACTTGTATAACTGTCACCTTTATAGTTGCTATTATTATCTTT